TAAACAGCGATTTCTACTGGTTCCCAAGATTGAAGATAGCTGGGAATCGTGGGGTATTTATTGATCTCCAAGAAGCGTGTGGCGTTGACGCAGAATGATAATAATAATAATAATAATAATAATGTCACTGCTTTCTGCTGTCAGAGTCCCTGTTAACATCCGTTTTAATCATTACAATCATACTGTGGAGTAGTCAGAAACACATATCATATTTGTAGTGTGAATGCTAATATAAACAGATATAATATTCACCTTTGCTGGCTATGAATGGCTCTGATACTAATACTTTATTATTTATTATTCATTCATGTTTCCATAGAATGGGAATTTGTTGTTGACAATGGCATAATAAATACATAGACATATGCCATATAGACATACACAATAAATAGACACTAGACATAAAAAAGTCATACATTATAAAAAAGAAATAAATAAATGTAAAAAAAACTCTAAGAAAGCAGACATAAAAATATAAAATATTTAAAAATATGAACTAATTTAAAAATAACTTTAAATGTCAAGAAGCCAAGAGTAAAATGAAGTCCTGTTTAAAAAATATGTAAGGTAATAAATAAAATTATTCATTTTATTTATTAATTTTATAAACTATACAAATTCAATTATCTAAATTAAAACAATGCATAAATATAAAAATAATACATTATACAAACATCATACATACATTATATATATATATAGACATTAGAAGTAGACATGTATACAAATAAAGCAGACATAAAAATATGTCATAACATAATTTAAAAATAAATTTGAAATGTTAAAATAACATCAAGGTGAAAATAGTACAAGAAATATTGTAATATAGTAAATTTATATATTGACATAAATCAATATAAATATCAATTGTATTATACATTGTATAAACACATAAATATATGTAAATAATAAATAAATAATATAATCCATTTTAATCCATATATGGATTATATGGATGTGTGTGTGCAATACAAAATTTGAATATGTCAAAATATGTAAAATGCAGGTTAAAAATAACTTATTTAACTTATAAAATTTGTAAAGGCTCATTTGTGCCAAGACATCATAGATCTTCTTCAGTATGCCAGATATCAATATGAATAATAAAAGTCTAGTTAATATGAGAGCTCGACAACATAATTTAATATATATCATTTAACATGATCAATATAACAGATAAATCATTTTTGAAGTGAGAATTATTTTCTTTAAAAATGTTTTGGGCTTTATCAATATGCAGTAGTATGTGATGCATGTTGTCATGAAATCTGAGACTCTCTCCTGGACAAAACGAGATCACAAGTGGTCACAGGAGACACATTTGAGATGCACATTAATAACAGGTGAAAACAGGGCCAGGGTTACACATCCTGGGTCAGATACGCTCTCTGAACATGTACGCTTTTAGCCAGTGAAGACTGGAAAGCTTTCAAGCTTTTATGGATTGTCCAGATCTTCTTTTAACAACCCAGACGGGACATGTTGCATCATCCTAAAGTCTTTTATCCACATACAGATCTAATTGTACAAAGAGCGGAGGGGTTAGGACACAGGCGGAGATGTTGTGGTCTGTCTGGGTCTGGTCCCTTTTGATTTACACATCCAGTATCTCAATATCTGTCATCCATTTCCTCCCATTTAACTTTATGGCTCTTGGTGGCTGTTTGAAGATCAGTGGAGGAGGACAGGCTGCTGAAGGGAAAGGGAAGTCAGAAGTCTCATAAATAAAGTGTCTTGAGCGTGCTGAACGCACCACTTAAGAGATGTTGAACAAACAGAGAGCTGTAATTACAGAGAAACTCAAGGAGAGCCGTCGGTGGAAATCAAGAAGTTCAAGGAGCAAACAAGCCTCAAGATGCTCACTATTGGGCCTCTTTATGCCAATGCAAACGCTGACTGAATGCAGTTGAAACTGTAGATCTATGGACCTATGGAAACTCTAACGGGGTCTCAGTGTATCCTTGAGAAGGGGCAAGGGAAAGGGCAAGTGGGTGGGACGCTGCATTGTTGCTAATGCATTATTCAGCTTAATGTGACAGTGTTTGGGTATTAGTGCCTGTTGAACCGCCATCATGATGGAAACTAGAAAGCGGCTATTTTTTTTTGTCTTCATTAACTCCAGAGTCAGAAGTTCAGATGAGGCCAAACATTTGGAAGAGAAAGAAAAACGATGCCTTTCATGTGCGGCAGCAAATCGGAAACAGACCGAGAACAATATTTCAGGCCAAGTGTAAATCAATGTTAAGCAGTTCCATGTTACTGTCCTGTCTGTCAAACGATCGCTAACATCCCTATGGATCCCAATGGAACATTATAATAATAAGCTGATTGTGAAACTGATGACATGAAGAACCAACTGTCTTCATTTTAATATTATTGACAGTGCTGCAAAGTCATTTTAAGTGTAGAGAATGTGTTAGTTAATCTTAATCAGGATTTGACCCCAAATGTTGGCATGTGTGTGTGATTATTTAGTTAATTATGAATAAACTGACATGTTGAAAAAGCTCCGATTTTGATCATTCAAGTTGACCCTTTGCTACACCCGCCTTAAAACATTTCAACATTTACAACTGTTGCCATCCATTATTTTCTCAGACAAGCTTTTAATACAAGTAGCCACAAATATCTCTGTGTTTGATTGACCAAAAACATTTTTGCAAGTCACACAAGCTATCCAGAAAGAAAAAGCATTCCCCCCCCATTTCTATCATTTTGATTATTAAAGTTAATGACTGATTAGCTGAGCATCACAATAAAGGTAAACAATATTAAAATATCATCAGCTGTTCCAGTTGTTAATCTCTGGTTTTGCTAACCCAGTGATGCTGGTGGAAATCTCTAAAGCTCTCTTCAATCAATAGCGAACACAACCAATAAAACTAAAGCCAGAGGCTTAAGAGAGGGGACGATCTAGTTACTGGTTGCATGAAGCAGACAGCCTGCAGCGCATATGACGTACCACAACACTAATAGCCCTAAAGCCATCTGATCACCTTCACTGGCTGAAATCAAGATACTTCTGGGAAATTCTCTCCTGACAATGAATACGAGAAGAGAGCGCCCTGGTTTCTGGTGGGGAGATTGTTTTGCGTGGGTTATCCACCAGTTGTTCATGTATTAAGTTCACCAACTTGGCCTCTCGCTGACCTGGCTGGATGAGCTGGTTTCAAAAGAAGATTGATCTGTGCGTGATCTCTGACAGGCCTGAGAGAGCCCTGGAGAGTAACTCAGAAGCAAGGCTAAATCAACACTGACTGCATGCTTCTCATAGCCCACTGTCTCGGGCCCCAACCCGCCTGCTCCACTGGGCCCAACTGACCTTGGGCGCCAGAGCTACCACAACTGCCCTCTGCACAAATGTAAGCTACAGCGATAGTATGGATTCATCAGGGTACAAAAACAAGGTCACTTCTAAATCTCAGCTTCAATTGGCCTTCTTTGAAGTGTTAATTCATTACATAGATAGTATCAAACACTAAAAATCATGTTTGATCCCTCAACTAACATTTAACCTTCAAAGAAAAGCACTACAGTGATACCAGAGTCAGATAGCACTGCCATGATATTCATATACAATGGTATTTACTTTAAAGAATGTAATGGTACTACCATGGTACAGAACCAAAAATATGGTATTGCAAGAGTATGTCCAAAAAAACAAACATACAAAAAGTACTGCCGCAAATGATACTACATTGACACTAAAATTCATGTAAATACATGGTACATTAATTTCAGTATCATTGTACATGTCCAAAAACCAAGGTAACCATGGTTAATTATTAATAATACCCACCAGATCTAAATATCTTGGTCTTCATTTGCTTGTACTTTCACAGATACACAATGGAAAACACAGTTACAGTCAAAATCTCAAAAATGCTGACATCTAAATTCCCTGTGAACTTCTTAGAAAGAACTATGGAAACATTCTGCAAATTACACTATGCTTTTTTGTTTTTGCTTGTGGTAATCATCTTCAATTCCATTAAAAAAAAAAACTTTAAGGGCAATAATTATCTGCAATTCAAAATATTTAGTAACAACAATATGGATGCACATGGATGTTCGTGAAATCTGACACCATCTTAATGAATTTCCTATACTCTAATCCTTTTGTCCTGGATGTTGGATATCTATGGTTATCATGCGTGCTAAATAAACTAAAGTTTAACTGACTCCGATTACGAGATTTGGTGGTCTCAGCATGGATAAAGAAACATCTTGTAACCAGGCAGGAAAAGCCATGTGCTCCTAAATGCCAGAAAGAGGAGAACACACTCTGGTTTTCACACAGCTGCGGTAATCTAAACAGACGTACTGTGCTTTAAAAAGCCAGACCTATTCCAGGAGGCCATCTCTGCTAGATTCTGGAAACAGAAGGGGAAATCTCTCCAATGCGACTGTGAGAGACACAAGCCAAAAATGAAAGGTCAGATACTCATTTAAGGACAGCAGTCTTGAGTTCAACAGGTTTACTTGTTTGTACTATTGTCTTGCACTAAATATTCAGCTTTAAGTATCATTTGCTGATATTTTTCTCTCCAGATCATCAACAGCAGAGATGTAAATTGCAAAGATGCATTTAAATCAAAAATAAATGCAGCATCTGATCCTCATGTTTTCATTATGTTCTTCAGTGCCAGAGGAGACCTACAGCACTGCTGACACTGACGTGAGTTTGCTGCCCTTGAGCAATGTTACCCAGATGGCATGGAGGAAGAACTTTAATTGTTTGTTTGCTAAAGGCATGCAGAGACTAAAAGTAGATGGCAAATTTAACCACTATCGGCTCTAGAAAGGGGTTTGGGGTGGTTTAACATGCCCATGACATCAGAAGAATCAAATCTTAGGCCATAAAAATAAACAGAAGTGCAAATTTAGGGTTGTTTGGTGCATATGATGCTAATTTAACATGGTTTCTTGAACTCAAAAGTACATAGAAAACCAGCCACTATCATCAAATAAACAAAGAGACTGAATGATTTTAACTGGGATTTAATAAAGAATAAAAAGACACGAGAAATCAACATTACATTAGCATTTTTTTTTTTTACAGAAGGGTAATTTACAACTAATAAGGTAAATGGTGAAGCTGTTGCTCATGCATATTTAATGTGCATTTAACAAAAGCCCTTAACAATCAGCAGGTGAACTAGTCTTGGTAGCACTGGACATTTCTCAGACAGACTGCGTCTGTAATAAACTGCTTTAGCTCAGTCATACTTCCTATTCCATTTCCATGTATGGCTAACCAAATATATTAAGTTATAGATATCTTTAAAAAAAGTAAACCATGTATGAACAATGCATTTACATAGTACTTGCTATGTAAACACATCACAGCAAAAGCTCAATTTATAATAAATACAAAACAAAAAGAAAAAAAAGGCAACAGACAATGGGGTATGAAAAGTGCAGGGGAAGGCGTTGTGCTGGACAGAAGTTGAGTTCCCAGCTGACCGACAGGCAGTTTTAGGCCTTGCAGCTGATTTCTGCCTAGGCACTTGATTGTTTGATAAGGGAAAGAAGCCAATTTGATTGGCTGCATTCTAACTGATCTCAGGGTTCATCAAGTCTCTCACACTGTGGTCATGAGTTTTAATGAGCCTGATCGGAAACGTAAGATCTTCTTCTTCAAGTTGTGGGAAGCCTTGATTTTAACAAATGCCTTTGCCTGTGCTGATGTCATTCCGTGGGATCCTGCACCTGCCTGGTTGAATTGGGGCCAATTTACCCCTGCACTCCCCTCAGAGTCACTGCTAGTGCTGCTCTCAGCTACATAGTCCGCCTCGCTAGCACTCGACTCGCTGTCCCCAAAACAGTTGGTGGTATAGTTACTGCGCTCATCCTCGCTTGTGTCCAGAATGGTGGAATGGAAGAGAGAGGCGCACTCTGCCGAATATTCAGAGTCGCTGCCTATGTAGGCATAGGGGCTGGTGTAGTGTGCGTTAGATGGCAAGTACATGGCTGACATGTGGCCCAGCATTTCTCGTTTCTGCCTGCGGTGAGCCCTCTTGAAAGCCTCCTCATATGGGATCTCGTGAAGACCCCTTGGCCGCCGGTGGTAGTCGTTACGCTTGTACTTGGGTTTGGCCAACACTGCATCATGATGTCGGTGATGTCCGTGGTGTCTCTGGGCAGAAGATCGACCCCCTGTGGAACTGGTGTGCTTCTCCAAGATTCGTCCTTCAGGGATGGAGGCAGGAATTCTCTTGGCTTTTGTGGAGGCCTTCTTGGAGGATTTGTGCAAGTGGTGGATGTCATCCGCTTGTCTAGACCGCCTAGATCCTGTCCGATGCTTGTCAGTCTCTGAAACATGCTCGGAAATGTGAGGTCTACTTTTTACACTGGTGGAATTTTTCACTTTGACAATCTTGATGTTCTTGGTGCCACCCTTGCGCAGATTTACATTCTGTTTCTGAGCAGGGATGTACTGGGCACTGACCAATTGACCTCCTTCATCTTGACTTTGCGAAGAAGAACCGAGGCTGAGCAACTCTGGAGACAGCTGTTCTGCGTCTTTACTACAACTTGCTGGAGCCTGAGCCTTAGGACTCCTCTTAAGAGGACTTGCTTTCATTGCCTGTCCAGATATATTGTCCTCCACAGTGTAATAAGAATGCTTGCCGCGTTTGGGAGAGGAAACTGCATTTGGGCTGCCTAAATCCTGCCAGTCCTCCGATGCAACACTTAACGGCTGGCCTTTAGTGGCTCCAGAAACTTTCTTCTTCAAGAGGCAACTAGTGTTATTATCATTGGTGGTTGTGTAACCGTTCTGTGGCTGACTTGGAGAAAAGTATGCTCCATTTTGTAGGGTACCTCCCTTGGACTCAGCAGACCACTGTCTTTGGGGCGAAGCTGTGCTTGGGTCAGTGCTAGCTGCTGATGAATCTTGTAAACACATCTGCCAGTTAGGCTTGAGGTCAGAGGTCCATTGTTGGGCCTGGACAGCAGCAGGGGCCCGTGAGCAAAGACTAGCCTGCCTTAAAATGCTCTTGGAGGGGTCAGTGTTGATGCTTGTTCTGGGTTTGTTGGTCCTCAAGGGCTGTGCCCTCCTCTGAAGTAGCCCAAAGATATAACTATCCAGTTTTTTGTTTGGGAGTGTTTGAGTGGCATGCCAGGAAGAATTCTGAGTGCCCACGACCTGCTCAGGTTTCTGTTCATCACTCAATGTTTCACCAGGCTTGGAGAAGTTACAATCGTCCTTTAGGTGACTAGTCATGGATTGAAAGAAGATGGGGCTCTGGACAGCCACCGCATGGAGAGGGCTGGGGTACCGGTAAACATCATTACCGTTTTTGGCAATGAGGTCACAGTGGAACTTGGACAGGCCATCGCAGGAGCCATCCGGGGAAGGGGAGTAGGATGCAGAAAGAGACCTGCGGACTGTTCCAGAACTCGAGTCTTCGCAATGGCAATCACACTCGGCACAAATGCCCAGCTCATCTGTAAATCCCAGAGGACACAACAGTTAATACTGCAAGAAAAGGCAACGTCAGATTACTAAAACAGCTAATTTCATGATGTCATGGCCTGTGAGAGCAGATGATTTCTGATTCCTAGAGTTCTAGTGCTTAGCTGGGTGGGTGGTTGATTGGTTTTCATGTGCTAATGAGCCTTTTGTTGCTAGCTTATAGGTGTGGCTGGGAGAGCCATCAGCAGGGCTGTGAAACTGTTTCTATCTCTGTCTGGTACCAAACTTCTCTAGTTTCACCTCTATTTGCACAGTCAAGCTTAAGTGATTACAGAATGCTTTCTGCTAACAGTAATGCAACACAAAAACGGATTTCATTTGAAGAAACTAGAAACATACAAACAAAGCAGCCTTTCTTTGTGATACCAGCTTGTAAGCCAGAGGAAGAAATCGCCATTAAGTAAATAGTTCTGCATTTGGTTAACAAAGCTAAAGAAGGGAAGAGCATTTCGAGACTACATGGAACAGTGCTGATGGGAAAGACCAGTCTGAATGACCCAGAAACCTCAAACCGTCACAAGAAGACTCTCACCTGCAGGCTTAAGCCTTCCCTCGGAGACACAGAGCGAGGTGTCGAGGGGGGTGCACAGGCAGGTGGTGGAACGACAACTGGACAAACACTCGCTGAAGACAGAGTTGGAGGAATTGGAGAGGGATCCTGAAGCACCATCGCTTAGGTCGTAAAAGCCTGGGGGAGAGAGAGGGCGAGAGATTAACACATTAATTTTACATCTTCAGGAATGAGGTGACAATGCAAAGACTGTGCTTTTCCACTGAGCTCTCTTCTGGAACCTACTTCCAATTACAATTTGAATAACATAGCTTCCAGGAAGGTATCCATCTGCAAGAGGAAATAGAGCTAGGAACCAGATCTCCATACATCACAATTGATATTAGCATTAAAATGGTGAAGTAAGGAATAAAACCATTACAACTACTACAAACAACACCAAAATAGCTGTACTCATAAAACAAAAGACCGCCTTTGGGCTGTAAAGAAAATAATACCAACTCATGGACTGAAGAACTCCTTAACATTAGAAGCAGTTATAAGGCCATTTCAACAATCGAGACTTTCAGAGAAGAGCATACACATGTGTAATCAATCTCCACTTTATATAACCTTCCTCCAACAAAAGTGCAGTCAGTCCCAGCACTAAAATGACCTCTTGTATTTGGAATGTAAACCAATGTAGCTGTAGCAGGCCTCTAGCACAGGGTGCAGATTGTTCGTATTACCAAATTAGTGCTTAAGCAAAACAGTTAAGCAGTCTCCAACAGACATTAGGGCTTGCAGGTACACAAGCTACTACAGGCCCAAAGCACATAAAGTAGTCTTATGCAAAGTGATAAAATTTGAACAGGATGTCTGATTACCTCCCTCTGGTGATTGTAGAAGATTAACAATCATTAAAAATGTTTTTTTGGTGCTTTTTTTTCAGTGTTTCGATGATCAAACATGCAGTGCACAGAATTCAGTCTCCTCTCAAAGTGTTACGGCTTCACAACAGATACTAACCTGAACTTGGCCGGCTGTCCGTTTCCACATGTTCATGCGAAGTCTCCGTGTCCAACCGCAGGTCGCTGATCTGTTTGTCTAATTCCTGGAGCTGGTTGATCAAACCTGCATCACGCCTCCTAAGGCAGTTCTATAAAGAAACGATACATTTTGAAAAGATGTTAATACAAGGTTTCATGAATGTCTAGTAGTTTAGCAGCCTCATGATTGCTAAGACTCATGATTGCTAAGATTCATTTAGAAGATTTTGCCCTGCAGCCCTAACAACAATCTGGAAACAATTGCATTTCACAATGCATTTCTCAATGCCGGTGGCTTCACGGCACCGATCAGACAGATGTATGAGCAATATCGCTCGAGTACGAGAGTGATATTGTGTTTATACAACAGTTCGACGGAACATGTGTGTAATTAAACAAGAAACAACGGAGTGTCTATAAAACCCTCTTTTGTGCAGAACTACTTCCTTCCGCCACGGATTCAAAGCTCAAGTTGACAGTTAAACATACGTCACTTTTAGAATTCGTATCAAGGGCATGTGCTGCTTCAGTTAGGTTATTAGTGAGAAATAATGAGGTTATAAGAGAGAAACAATGCAGCAAGACGTGTATCCAAATGAGAGAGAGAGACCGCGAAGCTAGACGTTTCTTCTTATATTAACTAACGTACTCTACGATTAGCTCAGTGAATAATTTAAAAAAAACATAGACCCGGCTAGAACAAGCGGAGTGATACAAAATTGTGAAAGGGCGTTCCTGTAGCGATACCAGTACAATATCTCACAGTTCTCAACCAATCAGATTTGAGAACCAGAACGAACTGTTGTATAAAATGAACTAAATTATAGTCACACCTCGTATGGGAATAACCATTCGACTTTGACACACTGCTTGAGAGCAATTGGATGCATCTGACAACACTCGTATCATGTGCTGCATTCCAAATTAAGTGTGGTGAAATGGCAGACTGAGGAAAACGTGGCCCCTTCAAAGCAGACGGACATTACTTCAAATGACCTATAATCAGAGGCATGTTATCTGCTGCAAATTGTAACTGCTGTTTGCTGACAGGGGAAGTAATGCAGTGCAGATTCCAGGCTATATAGAGCAGGGGAATGACGTTTCCTTCACTGCAGACTGAGGCTGTAAAAAAGCCTGGTCCTGACAGGCGGGCTGCGAGTGATTTATGGGCCCTGAGCTCTCAGCATGCTGGGCTGTGCAGACCATTTTTACACAAAGTGCCATTTGCAGAGCACACCGACAGTTATTTTGAAACGGCATCAAATTAACCCCAGACCACTATCGATGGCCTGGGCCTGGGTTTGGGACAACGGTGTCTACATTTCTGGTTTATACTTGATTCATTTAACTTAGTCAAAGACCACAGAGGATTGGTTGTTTGTTACTGGGAAATCATAAGGACATTAGGCATTATATGATCTACAAATTACCATTAACTTTAATGCAGTTCTGGGTGTGAGGCAAGCAAACAAACTGACCTCAAGATAAACAAGTGTAATTATGGGGAAGACTCAAGCCACTTGTGTACATGTCTGAGGCTTTAGCAAAGCCAGAAATCAAATCCAAACCTTGTAATTCTTTTCTGTATACAATACATTAACCACAAAGCATGGACCCATAGGGTTACACTAATGGAAATGTTTGCAAATACCTCAAGTGGAACCAGGTGTCTTTGGCCCAACTTTTAAATTTAATCTTGGTCATCCTCTAAAGACAGCAGGGGGCTTGAGCTGGGCTTGTAAAAAGTTAATTTCCATTGAAACCCATTGGACAACCTCGCAGATTTGCATTAGAAACTCAAGGATGTTCCAGGAAGTTTTAATTTCATTTTAGATTTTAATTTGATGTTTAAAAGATTTTAATTTAATTCAATACAACTAAATGTGAAAAGAAGTCTTTTTTTTAATGCCAATGTAAAAATATGAAAGTTCTCAATGCATCAAAGTCAAAATATAAAATGCATTCAAAATCATACAAATTCTTACTTTTACTCTCAGTTTAGTTATGAGACCTCCCTTGCAAAAATGTACAGTGGTGGTACCATGGTTATACTATGCCTCTTTCATACATACCATAGTACTGTGGGGTTATCATCACTTAAAAAATGGACATGTACCCTGGTAGAACCATGGTATTTTTCTAAGAAACTTGGAGTGCTATGCAAGCACAATGGTAAATGAAATTTTGTATTGTGTATGTATATATATATATATATATAAAAGTACATAGTACTACCATCAGATATTGTCACTGTACTATGGTACTGCCATAGTATTTTTGTAAGAGATATTTCATTACCATTACTAAAATAATAATAAAAAAAAATTGTAAATGTATTTCCCCCTTCAGAAATACAGGAAAGAGAAAGGTTGCACTACATATAAACAACTTCAACAATAATATATATAAAAATAAATAAAAATCAGTTTCTGTTACTCACTCACCAATTGTTTTCTAAGCAATAAAATATTCTCCTCCAGAAGTTTCTCTTCAGTGTTCAGATAGCTGTCCTCCACTGTAAGGCAGGGTTTGTCCTCTCCCGCGAGCTCCTGACAGTTCAACACACTCCTGACCAGCAGCTCCTGTCTCTGTCTCAGATACTCTAGCTCGGTCAGACCCGCGACAGTCGCGTCCAGACGCTCCCGGGTTCGAACCCGCTCCACTTCACCGCGCGCCTCGCATTCCTTCCGATCCCGCATCATGAGCTCGAAATAATCCCTGGACACCAGCGTCTCTGACAATTAATTCATTTACATATCCAGCGACAATAACGCTATGGAGATTCTTCTTATGAACAATTTTTATCTGAAAAACACTTATGACATGGTCAGATCATTTTCATGTTTTAAAAGTGATCATCAAAACCCAAAAAGAATCCAACAATTCATAGAAAAAATAAAAAAATTAAAATAACCTTTTATGCTACAGATATATGGCATTTAAACGCCTGTTGTCCTTGCTGAAGCTCAGCATAAAAAGTCCAAATCCACAGACAGAGAGATAGAGAGGGCGTTGATGGGTGCCGCCCGGATGATACTGGGATCTGAATGTGTTCTGCAGCGAGGAGCTCAATCACACACACACACACACACACACACACACACACACACACACACACGGAGGAAACCCTGCTGCTGAGGATGCGGCGGGGTCCTAACGCCCGCCCGGTTCACTCCCTGCTCTACTGTCTAAGTATGGAAGTGTCCATTTTCATGCATGATGTATAAAACAACATTAGCCTAAGACCTGCATTAGATCATCTATATTACATGCACACCGAACTACATGCACAATCATATAAAGTTTATTACTTTTTCATTGTTTAACTATCCTACTAAACAAAAACAGGTCAGGAGCACATTTTGTAGTATATGAAAAATTAATATATGCATGTAAATACAAGCTTACAGCACCCTAAACCTAAAACGACAAGATTTACAAGTAAGTACTTTTATTTTTTGTCTGAAAATATGGTGGTACAATAGTAAGGTTGTAGTTATGATTACCATATTCATATAAACCATGATATTTACATCGTTTTTAAAAAATATGGTATTACCTTGGTTGGTATCATGTCTAAAAGAACAGGAAAATATACAATATTCAAGGACACGGTGCATAATGCAGATATCATAACCTAATAAAAAAACTTGCAATACAGATAATGACATGCATTTCGAATAATTAAGATGATAAATAAGATTTTTTTTAAGGTGTATTTAAAGGCACTCAAGTGGATGACTGCCCTCTACTGTTGTTAAAACAAAAACCTGCAATAGTTCACTTCATGGACTATTGCTAGCAAAATATATATTTCTAATTTATTTATATTTATTATTTTTCCATTTAATTTTCCAGTTAGTCCAATAGTTTACTTTATAGACAAATCTATATTTTCTAGATGCATTTATGCATACAAGTAAAAGACTGACATTTCACCAAGATGTAGGAGACTATACACTGACTCAAATAAAGAATGATTTAGAGGTTTTCTAAAACACGGATCTGTAAAACATATGTTTAAACATTATTTATGGTAATAGACTCCACAGCTGCTTCTATAAGAGGCTGAAATCTCATTTCTCAACTAGCTCATTATTCAGACGCGTGGAGAACTCAAAACAGACAGATTTGTTTGAAAATGCATCTGTGAAATGGACCAACAATTTACATATCAAGAACGTAACTGTTCTGGCAGATTTTAAGCTAATTTATATTTTGGATTCAAACACGTGGAAGAGACATTGTGTATATTTATCAGAATAAATTAGTTGCGCTCATAGCTCTGGCGGATAGACTCTTTCAACGGAAGGGGGTTTGCAGTTGCGTATCTAATGAAAAACACTGCACCTCTCAAAGCCCTGTCCATCAACGTCAGCCAATGGCTCAGACAGTTTCGTTTGATTTGCAGCTAAGCAGGCGGTGAATATGAGTCAAAGAGAGAAGGAGACCCTCAGTAGATGGCACAAAGCTTAATCTCTCTTTCTAAACACGACAGGGATTGAGGAAATGGGATCCATGGCTGCTTCTATGAGGAACAGATGTTTGAAACACAGCTGGTGACCCTCTGAAACATTAGCCCTGGCCGAACGGTTACACAAGCACACAGATATACACACACGGTCACTGATGTGGAAAGAAAGAGTGGCTTAAGGGCAAAAATCTCAATAATTCGACAAAGTCTCAGGCTACGACTGCGGGACAGGAAGTGACCTGGGACATACATACTCGGATCAAAGGCTGTAGTCTTTGTGCCACCAGAATCAAATCTCTCAGACAAACAGGATAAATCCTTCCTTTCATTGCCATTTTTGCCACTGTTTCAAATATGATACAAAACCGATGAAGTGAGAAGTGTGCATTTGTCTCTATTTAAAAAAGGAACCGTTTTTTGTAGCCAACCCTTGATTATTTTATGTAAATCATTTCTCATAAATCTGACCCAAAAAAAGCCAGACAATTTCCCTTAGACTATAGCTTTTGCTAGTACAAAGTCACATTTGTGCTTTAACCTAATCCAATCACTCCCAGTAATTACCCATTAAACGAGAACAGGACCCAATTAGGACTGGCAGGAACATGGGGAATAAATTAATACATCTAAATACATCAAAGCCTACTGCTCTACAGATGCCCAACTGTGGGGACAAATTGAGCAAATGTGCCGCGAGGATTTATGAGCATGATAGCAATCGTCACCCCTCACCTATATCTTATATCATGCTGGACACAGAGCGCTTTTATACAACTCATCAGTCATATAGATGTTATTACTTTGAATTTACACCTAAAGAAGGTGTTTGTTTTAGTATTCCTGCAGTGGTGGAAACAAAACTTGGAAAATGTTCCATCTAGAAGCCTGATGAAGCTTTGACGTCAAACGGATGCTGGGCGGTTCATGCAGGTGTCAATGTTGAGTCTGTGATTGTAATTTGAAAGGAAGAGCTTGTCTGTTCACCACACGCTGTGAGAAACTTCACATGCACAAAACTGAAGGCCAGATCTTTGTTCACCAAATCCTTGAGCTTTACTAATACTACAAAGGATAAAAAGACAGCATTTGAGGGTTAGAAGAAATTCTTATGAATTAATTCCATATGTCTTTGTTCAAAACAAGCGCTTTTGACAATGACAAAATTATTGTCTGTGGCAGTCGGCAGCATGCCTGAGATGATGTGGAATACCACAGACAATATTTTTTGACTTGTCCCTCAGTTTGTGTGATTTTATCATATTAGTTTTATGTAAACATTTAGGTTTAAGTCTTGTGGTTACACTTCTAAACAATGCTTATTTTAAAGGCATAGATTTTAAAGGCCAAAGATGAAAATTCTGTCATTATTTCCTAACCTTTCACTTGTTCCAAACCTGTATGAGTTTCTTTCTTCTGTTGAACACAAAATAATTTTGAAGAATGTTGGTAATCAAATAGTTGATGGTATAGCATTTGACTTCCATTATATATTTTTTTCCATACAATGGAAGTCAATGACTTCTGTCAACTGTTTGATTATAACATAATATCTTCTTTTAGAAGAAAGAAACTCACAAATTTCTAAGGTTTCTAAATGATTAACATTATCAAAACTTTGCTGAAAAACCTGTTGTACACTATTTTTTCCATGCCTTCTGTCATTTTATTGATAGTTTATACTTTTTAGCAAGTAAAAGTCCTCTTTAGTATAATTCTAAAAGTGTGTCTCTTCAGACGCACGTTTTTTTTTTTGCTGTGAAATTTTTTACTGATTTTTATGAATGTTAGTAATATTTCAAGATGAATACCTACTGGAATAAAACAACTTTGGTTTACTTATCCATTATACATATATCATTTTCAGTAATATCATGTTAAAATGTGACTCATCAGGCTTTTGATGAATATTTATTCATACATCTCTTAATCATCATTGTATTGCACGACATTATATGTTTTGCCTCCCACAATAAAAACTACAGAGCTGTGATCATAAAACTAAGCAAATATCATCTCTATAATAATAATAATAATAATTTGGGTGATATGGAGGGACAACTGATATTTACATGCATTCTATGTAAGCAGTCTGCTATACTGTTACAAAGATTTCTGTATAAACGTTTTTGGCAAGACTAAAATATAATTAAGAAATAATGTGAGTAATTCCCTAATGAATTAAAAATGCACAGTGAGGTAACAGACAACGAGACAAAGATACTCACAGCTGACGGATGTGGATCCTGTCGTAATTCAGACCAACATATAGTGCTTCTAGACCATTATTAAGTTCAGCGTGGTTGTCGTGTCTGAAATGTCCTACATATGCTCCTGTGATTGCACTGCTGTTCAGACAACACATATGGAATAAGAGAATCCTTTATATTAGCAACAGCGATCTTACAACTTACAAGACAAGAAAACATTTGCAGGAAAATATTATTTGGCCCACTTTTGAAGTCCTTCTAGAAGATAATTCTGACCAACAAACTATAAAAGAGAAAATAAAATGGCAGATATAATAACAAAAAAAAATATACAAGATGCTTAAGATCTATTTGAAACAAAAACAGTTGTGTCAGTTGATGTTAATGTTATAAAGGTTACGACAATAACAACAGATTTGAAAAAGAAGCATTACCATTGAGACATGTGGAGATGCTCTGGACTGTGATCTTGACCTTCAGCCTATTAAAGACTGGAGATTAGATTCAAATAAAGGCTGTACGGGGCATTGATGTGTCACATGTCAAAAGTTTCATCAAATCGTCTGTACAGCATGTCCCGGCAGAAACAACAAAGCTTAACTAGACATCTGAGCTGAGCTGTCTGAGGTCAGGACATTGTCCAAGAAGTTGTCTCTTCACAGATTTGCTTACTCATACAACTTCTTACTGATGAAATCCCAGCTATGCCTTTGTACTTTAAACTGGCTGTGATCCGGTCCAAAGGTCTTTAAAATCAAACAAAAGAAACCAAGAATAGAACTATTTTCCTAAAGTAAAACATGGAGAAGGTGATGCTTCAGCTAAAGAGAACGGCTTCAGCTAAAAGTGTTTTAGAGCTTTTTTTTAGAACAATCAATTTTCACAACAAAAACGAAATTAACTACTATTGTGAAAAACCAGATTAGAGGCTGATACTTCAAGTCTATACTTACAGGCTTGCTGTATTCGTGTGGAGGGTTGAGTGTGCTCAACTGATGTTCTCCATTTGTGGTTCTATGATGCCGTTACAGTTCAGTTCTCTGTTCTGGTGCCATGTCTCAGATTCAAGATGTGACGCTTTGTTTGAAACATCTGAAAGAAACTCTTTATGAGATAAACAGCATTTCCACCAAAGCCTGAGAGCTTTTTGAGTACAGACGACAACAGACTCGAAATGTCAGATATAAAACCAAACGATGCAGCCAATAGTTTATGGCCCACTTCATAAAGAAAAACTTCATAGCTCATATCCTGCAAATTCGGATGCATTTGCTGTCTTCCAAATGTCAAACAACCCACGTAATCGGCCTGGTTTCCATATGCTTCATATGTCTTATTGACAGATCAAAATCTTTATTTGCTTTCACAAATTCAGTGCAATTAAAGTGAAGGAGCACAGATTTAAGAGCCA